TGTAAAAATGGACTTCTCATCTCAATGGTTTCAATAATTTATTGCTGTTACCTCCCTTTATCTAACACATAATCCAATTTCCAGCTCTCCCATTGGTTGTCTTGTTGATCAGTTACTGTCAGCACAACCATTTTATTTCAAGACAAAAACTCTATCAGAAGTAAGGAAGGCCTTGAAGGATCTAGATCTGAAAAAAAAAAAAAATCATCAGGTTTAGACAAATTGAAGCCTTACTTTTTTTTTAAATGGCTGCAGATTTGATAGCCAACCCAGTTGCACATTTAATTAACCTTTAGCTACGAATCAAGTACCGGCCATTTGGAAATCTGCCAATGTGCTCCCCCTTCACAAAGGTGGTGATCCTGGAAACATAAATAATTATAGGCCTATTTCTAAATTGTCAGTTTTAGCTAAATTAATGGAATCATCAGTATGGTGATCCTGGTTTTAGGAAACAACACCGTACAATGACAGCCATTTCAAAATTTTCAAAAAACTTTTTTATTGATTTGTCAAAACCTTTTGACACTGTGGGCCATAAAATACTTCTTCAAATACTCATCTCTATTGGACTATCAGAAAAGCAGTGGGATGGTTCAATAGTTAATTATTGGGGAGAACAGTATGAGTGCAAGTAGATGGCCACACTTCTGCTGCCCTAACTAATTTAAAAGGGGGTGAGAGAGAGAAATAACACTTTATTTTGACAACATTTTTACATCCCTAATTCAAACATCATACCTTAACAATATTGAAATGGGATATATATTGTTGTGTTTCTATCAGAGGAGGAAAGTAACATTACAAATATTTTTGTTACAGCACTTGAGTAGATTTTTCTTTTTTTCTACATTTACTCTTATTTGAGTAGAATAAATATAAATTATTCAACTTTGCTAGAATCACTACAACAATGTGTCTAAAACTCATACACAGCTCAATTAAATGGTAAAACTTGCTCTCTTTAACAATACAATTGAACTACAGTAAATGTATGAAGCAAATATTGTACAAAGCTGAAAAAACCTCAACAACAGAAAATAAGATTGCATGATTTATCTGTCAATCAGAGGCATGTAAAAGTGTAGTTCGTTACAATAGCAACAATGGCCTCCCAGAACATTATCGGTTGAAAAAAACAAAAAGAGTGTACACTAAAAAGAAGACCCTCTATAGTTTATAATCATGTATTGAATTATTTATATAACCATTAATGATGGTGTATTCTAAGTCTATGCAGCTATGTGAAAAAAAATAAAAAACTATCAAAACGCGGGAACGCGGGCTGACTATTTAAGCCATTTCTCTTCACTGAATGTAAGTATTTCCACACCAATTAAATCAATGGCTGCTTGTATTTCTAGCTCTGTTGCCCAAGTTCCGACGTATTTCATTTTTTATTTCATCCTGGAGAATGTGTTACAACAGCGCATCTCAGTTTTCTATGTTCTTGTTCACTTACACTTACTGCATAATCTACTCTACTGATCTGAAAAAGCAGTTACCATGCCCAACGATATCTTTGGTTTCACAAGGTTCAGCCATTTCGGCTACGTTCACACTGCAGGGCTTAATGCTCAATTCCGATTTTTTGAAAAAAATCGGGTTTTTTTGCAAGGCCGTTCACATTTCCAATTAAATGCGACCTTTTGTGATCTCCTGTGTGAACGTGAAATGACCTAGAAGTGACCCGCATGCGCAGAAGAGTGATCAACGGTCAACAACGTCACTTGTTGTTTGCGGAATAATTGTTTTTTTCCATATGTTGCTAGCTTTTGTTTTATTATTATTATTGCCACAGCCCATATACAAACACAGACAACAATTATTTTATCGACGGGCAAAGTTTGCACATAAATGTAAGATTTTTTCGATCCTCACCGACCTCGTCGTTTAATTGATAGTGCACGTCCTCGGCGCTCCTTGCTTTGTCACCGGCGGCCGCGGTGCGACACTGGTGGCTGGTGTTGCCAGATTGGGTGGTTATTCGCTACATTTTAAGGCATGTTTACATGTGTTTTAGCCAGGTTTTCGCCTGGAAGGCTCTATAGAAATCTGGCACCCTACTGTACGAAGTTAAACTGACAGAGAGCGCACGTTCACAGACACCAGAATGAACGTGTTCACAGTAGGGGTGGCACGGTTCACAAAACCCACGGTTCGGTTTGTATCACGGTTTTAGGGTCACGGTTTTCGGTTCTGTACGGTTCTTGTTATTTTTTCTTTTAATCTTTAACACTCCAGAAATGTACTTCAGCATGTGATATATAGCTTAATTATCCACACTTTAGGATACAGTATTAAAAAAATATATATTATATTCATGCAATCATGCACAAACTGAATTTGACTCTTTGACTTTAAGCACATTTTGGGACTATCTCAGAGGAAAGCTAGGTGAGATTTAGATACAGCAAGAGAGAAGAAATTGACATGCTTTTTGTTTATTTGGCAAAAAAAAAAGGAGAATGTGTATCACTATCATACAAGAACTTGTGCATTTTTATCACATAAATCTTATTTACACAAAGAAATTAACTTTCATGTATCAACTGCTAACTTTTGTAGCTCTTACCAAAATTTTATCTTTTAAAAGAAAAAGAGAGCAACTCTTAAAACACTGTCTTTTAAATGTCAATATACATGAAACCTCATTGCCTATAGATAATTAAGCTATAGCAATAGCAAAGGCCATAAACATAAAGTGAAATTTAAGTTCAACCTCAACACAAAAACAGTATCAACAATGCTTCTATTCCCAAAATGTGAGGGTACTTTTTTCCACTTAAAATTAAAGTGCAGGGTTTGGAAACGTATGACTGAAGCTCTTATCTATACATAAAGTGCCACTGTAGTTAAATTAAAATATCATAACATGAAATCCAAAATGTTCCCACACACTGGACTTAGACTTATACGACGCTGGCGCATCCTCCAACTCCCTCATCTCTCCCACTTGCCATTTCTCCGCGTGCCGTGACCTGCAGCGCTCCATACTCCACTTTTACTGGCTTGTTTATTAACTTGAACCGGCGCTGCACAGAGCGATCGGTAATGACATCAAATACCGTGAAAGTGATGAATGCATACGGAGCCGACTCGCGCTAGATTGGTGTTATTCACCGATCGCTCTGTGCAGCGCCGGTCCAAGTCGAACAAGTTTATGTCGCGGGAAAAGAAAACACGTCACATACGGGCACGAGGTTACATTGCGCATGCGTCGAACCGTGAGACGCACACGCGCTCCGAACCGAGACAAGCGAACCGAACGGTTCGGGTGTTTTTTCATGTACCGTGCCACCCCTAATATATATATATATATATATATATATATATAAATATATTCATATTGTCATCTTATCTTATTATCACGTAATACTTTAGGCGATATTGGTCGTCATGGTACTGGTTCAGCGTACCAGCATTTCAGCAAGATTTTTAAAGAAGTCAGTCAGTCCAAAAAACAGGTAAAACTTAGATTATTAATTTGAATTCATTGATTAAAAGGCAAATTTGTAATTTAATGTGTTGGCTAATTGTTTTTCAGAACTTTACGCAGGACAATCGTACGCAGGGAATCATGGAAAAAAGTCAGTGGGACCTCAAAAAATTAGGTTCCAGAGGAGGAGACTCACACGGATGGATGACTTTGTGCAGATATACCAACGGATGCATGATGCACAGCTCCGTGAATATGAAGACACAGAAAGATCGAGAAAGAAAGTATGGAAATATTTTTTATGTTTGTACCTTTTACAAAACATTGTCATTTTAATGACTCTTTGTTAAAAACACAAGATGCTGGAAAATATTTCATAAAAAGAGTAATGTATGTGCTTATACGACATCTCTTCCAGTCCTATCGAGTGGAAATGGAACAGTGGAAAAAGAAAAATCAGAAGCGTAAAGGAGTATACGTTTCTCCACTAGTGAAGGGTCTGCCATTCAAACACATTAGAAGCAAGGTAATTTTAATCAGAGGGTATAATAATAATAATTATAATTTCAAATATTACAAATCTAGAAGAATTTGCTGTGAATACGTGCAATTATTTATTAAAAAGCAATTATGTATTTGTATTTAACTGTAACCAGTCTTCTGATCTAATCTTCATGTCGAATTATCTTAAAACAACCTTCACAGCTTGTTTTTAGAAAAAATAATCTTGGTTAAAATTGTATGTTGTACAGTGTAAAATTAGTGGGAGGTAAGCATATTTGCTATGTTCATCAATTCCACTTTTACACAACACAGGTCGAGAGGAAAGATGGTAGTAATGATGATCAGGTGTATGTGGAGCCCAAAACACCAGAGAAGACGAAAGAAAAGAGAAAGGTAAGAATCATTACGATAAACAGTATATATATATATATATATATATATATATATATATATATATATATATATATATATATATATATATATATACACATAAACACTTGAGATTATGCTTTAATACCATGTTATCATTGCAATACATGGTTTATTATTGCATTATTACAATTTGATCTAATCTCATATAGGCCACCAGGTTACTCCCAGTAAACACAGAACGTTCCCATAACGTTCCCATATGGTTCCCATTTGGTTATTTTTTTGGGAACCAAATAAGAACGTTCTAAGAACGTTCTCTGTAGTTTTTTTTTTTTTAATAACCTAAAGAGAACGTTCCGGGAACGTTCCCTGCAGGTTATTTTTAGATTTAATTTTATAACCTAAAGAGAACGTTCCGGGAACGTTCCCTGCAGGTTATTTTTAGGTTTAATTTTGTAACCTAAAGAGAACCTTCCCAGAACGTTCCCTGCAGGTTATTTTTAGGTTTAATTTTTATAACCTAAAGAGAACGTTCCGGGAACGTTCCCTGTAGGTTATTTTTAGGTTTAATTTTGTAACCTATAGAGAACCTTCCCAGAACGTTCCCTGCAGGTTATTTTTAGGTTTAATTTTATAACCTAAAGAGAACGTTCCGGGAACGTTCCCTGCTGGTTATTTTTAGGTTTAATTTTGTAACCTAAAGAGAACCTTCCCAGAACGTTCCCTGCAGGTTATTTATAGGTTTAATTTAATAACCTAAAGCTCTCTGTGAAAGTCCAGGTTTACAGTTGAATATTCAACGACAATATGTTATTTGAAATAATCAATAGGCTACTGCTTTCATATTCTATTTACAAAGCACTTTCAGGACATCTTTATTGTATGTACATATGTATACGTGCTGCTTGATTTTGACGTGGTTTATTATCAATGCCGTGCACGTGAACTTTCGAGTCTCTCAAACACTGGAGCGGCCGGCGCGCAGAGTTGCCATGGAAACGGCGCGGGACCACTGCTACTGGTAAACAACAAAACTCCCTCTCGTCTCGCTGTTGTTTCAACTTTTCACGGCTTTTTTCAGGTGAGATTACTCTCTAAAAGCACACGAATAATACTCACAACTGTTTTTGACATTTCTTCTACTTGTAATTGACACGATTCTGTTAAAAATGTACTTTATCGACATGGTGTAGTGTCTTCGGAAAAAGTCCGTTAGAGGTAACTTAGCAAAGAGGTAACGTTAACGTTAGCAAGGCTAACATCCACGTTAACTCGGTTGAACTTTTATTTATTAAAGTTTCTTTTAATCACCTCTTATGTGTAAATGAGAGGTTTTGTAAGGGTTTTACTGGGAAGTGAGCTAATTAATTTAACACAAACGTAAACGTAACGTATCGGTGATGTTTCAGGACTTTTAGGAGCAATTGGCCGAAACTAACGTTAGCTCAATGGTAACGTTAAACACATTTTGATTAATGTTCTGTGATTTCAGTAGTAACGAAATAACCCATAACAGAGAGAAAGCTCCACTAAGTTACTTCAACATTTCTGAAGAAAGCTGCTGCGGGAGAAGTAACGTTAGGACACAGCCAGGTGAGCCGAGGAAGCTCAATAAATAAAAAACATTTATGATTATTATCAGTGTTGAAAACTGTTGTGCTGCTTTGTGTTTTTCAGGATTATTTGATGAATAGAAAGGTTTAAATAACAGCATTTATTTGAATATATTTGTTAATGTAATGCATCCTTGCTGAGTAAAAATATGAATTTCTTCTTTTTTTTGTTCTATTAATTTTTAAATCTATCATTGACCCCAAATGTTTGAACATTAGTGTAAACTACCCTTCATATGTTTGTGGTCTATTTAACAATGAATCCTGGAGGGGGAAAATGGTTTAAACTGTTACAATGGTTTACACAAACGCATTAATCAGTATAACTGTTTTTAACATTGATAATAATCAGAAATGTTTAGGGTTAGGGTTAGATGTTTACATTGTAAGAATGTATAGTATTCAAATATAAAAAACACTGACTTTTTAGGTCATGTTTCTCATTCAAGTCAGATGATTTCCTATCAATTCAATTGAATATGGTGACTTCAATTTACATGGCATCGTGAGCAATCAAGTCATTTATATAGATCAGTGAGTAGTGCCCAGCATAAAAGTCCACTAAAGGAGATTTCTCGCATTTTACCCCTAAACTCTGGAATACCTATGAAGGTAAAAGAGTAACAAGACTCGAGCACAAACAATAAATACTTGTATGCTAAAATTTACACTCACAGCTCCAACGTGAAAACCTCATCTAATATGCAATAACGTTGAAAAGATCACAGTTTCTGTCCTGACGAAAATTTTCTATCTTATTTTTTGCTTTGCAGAACAAGTTTGTGACTGACTTAATGAAGCCAGTTTGGATCATGCTCAGAGATGTAAGGGTTACAGAGTCTTATGGACTCCATCTTGTCTTCAAAGAGATGGCAACATGAACGGGAAAAAAGGGGTTGTTGGTGAAAAAAGAGTCTTGACCTACAAAAGGTGCAGCTAATAATTGGTAAGCATGTCTGAATATCTTTTATCAATAGTTATTATATGACAAGCGCTGAGCGCGTCTGTCAGCGACAGCCATAGCTTGGAAAGCACAGTTTGAATCTGGCAGTTATGTCACGTCATGACAAACTTGTTTTCAAATTTTAATGTAATAAATCTCATTTCTTACAGACTATGTCAAAAAGAGGCACCCAGGCATCGGAGGCACTGAGATCAAGGTCTGCATGGCACAAAAGTTAAGAGATCTGAGGAGACGAGCAGAAAGGTAATATTCAGACGATCCAACATCCAAGTGTGATCCCCATGTGTCTGTTTACATTTGCGAAACCGACATGAGTGAGGACGGAGGATTATTCCTCAGTCTACATTGTGATCTATTCACAAACTGTCAATAGTTTTTTTTATAAATGATACGCATCACTCGTCATATACAGTTGTTTAAGCAAGATGTAAACGGCATTGCTGTTTGCCAACATTTTTTGCTTTCATAGCATATTTACGTAAAACGTTTAATGACATAATAATATTACAAATGAATAATAATTAATTATTAAGCCCCATCCACTTTATGCTTCGAAAATGCTTTTCAGAAACCTACGGGGTGACGTCATGGACACTACGTACAAATATTTTTTTGTTACAGTCTATGGTTTTCACTGTCCTAATCTTTGATCTTTTTCTATCCCAAAAAAGGATGCCTGCTGAAGGAGACACAAAGGACTGAGACAATACACTTTTACAAAAGCACACCACACACACACACGCACACATGCGTGTATACCTGCGTTTTTTGTGGCTTTTTATGTATTTATGTATAATATGTGTGCTAAACAAAAGTGTATATAGTTTCTCATTGATAATTGTCTTGAGATATTCACATTTATAAACTTGTATTATTATAATCTCCTAAAGTCTTAGAATTTATGTTTTCATGTTCATGATTATTTTTTATTATTTTTTATTTAATTTTGTAATACATGTTGTTTATAAAAATACATGTTCACGGCTTTTATATATGAAGAGTTCAGATGCAAAAGCCTCTAAGTGCCATTTGAAATTTTCTTCTAAAATGATAATTTTTATCAAGCTTGTATAGACCATTTCAAAAGATGTAAACAACACTGGTCCAGAAGCACTTCCTGTTTCAGTTTGTAACTGTTTTCTTTATTTCACATGTAAAGAAAACATCTTAAAGATGTTTGTTTAACTTTTTGATTCAGTTTTAAATGTTCTGTTGGTTGTATTTTATCCCAGCTTTTATGTAGTGTTAAAAAACTGAAACAGGAAGTGCTTCTGGACCAGTGTTGTTTACATCTTGTGAAATGGTCTATATTTAAGTTCAGTAATTTCACTTAAATGGCAATGAAGATTACGTATTTATTGTCATTTAAGTGAAATTACTGAACTTAAATACACAAGCTTGATAAAAATGGTCATTCTAGAACAAAATTTCAAATGGCACTTAGAGGCTTTTGCATCTGAACTCTTCATATAGATACATTTTTTTTGCATACATTCAATTCATTGTAATGATTTTATATTCATACAATCAATTGTTTTAATTTTTAAAAATAATATTACTATTCAGGTCAATGTGAACAATAAACAATGTCAGTTTCTCATGATATTTAATTAGTATATGATCATATATGTCCTATTTACATTTATTAAATTATTACAGGCTAATCTTTTTAGTTTTAGAATCTTTATCTTCATGGTTTTAAACTGCAATTTTGATTTTTTTTTAATAAATATGTTGTTTAAAATATATGTGCATGGCTTTTCGTGGCATTAAAATTTTGTGCATACATTACATTTATTGTAGTAATCTTCATACGATTCTTATGTTTTGGAAAAAATAAACAACATAGAAGATATTTTTTGTAGACTTATTTGTGTACAGGCATATCGGGATGTAGAGGTTAGGAGAACGTTCCGGGAACCTTTAGGGAACGTTCCCGGAACGTTCCGGGAACCTTTAGGGAACGTTCCGGGAACGTTCTGGGAATGTTCCGGGAACGTTCTGGGAACGTTCCGGAAAAGTTCCCGGAACGTTCCCCTAACCTAAAGGGAACGTTCTATTAACGTAAAGAAAACTTTCCTAGGTAACCAATAGGGAACGTTAGAAATGTTTGTTCTGGGAACGTTCTGAGAACGTTCTGGGAACCTGAAAGTAACGTTCTGGGAACCAAAAATTGTTAACTGGGCTCTTATGGTTTTCTATTTGCTATGTTCATCAATTCCACTATTACACATCACAGGTCAAGAGGAAAGATGATAGTAGTGATGATCAGGTGTATGTGGAGCCCAAAACACCAGAGAAGATGAAAGAAAAGAGAAAGGAAAGAATCATTACAATATATATATATATAATATATATATATATATATATATATATATATATATATATATATAAAAAATAAAACACTTGAGATTATGCTTTAATATCATTTCATCATTGCATTCTTTATCACTGCATTTGTTTATTGCATGTAATCTCATTGGCTCTCACATCAATCTTGTGTCACGAACACACACGGGGGACAGACATACCCAAAAGCAGTATGTTTAATATAGGGTAATCCAAAATCGTAGTCTTCTAGGTAGGGGTCAAAATCCAATAACCAAACCAAAAGATTAGCACCGAAACAAAAACATGAATCATGAACACAGATCTCAAGTGGTGTGACTCCGTACACATAATAACACAGACAGGGAATATATACACATATCGAACAAGACTAACAATGAACAGCTGGGAACAATGATGACGGGGAACAGCTGAGTGCAATGAACTAATGAATGACAGTGACAGACAGAATGCTGGGAAATGAAGTTAATAGTGAAGGACACCGTGATAACGAGGACCTCTAGTGACAAACAAGGAAAACACAACCAGACACTGTGACAACTTTTGGTTCTCTAAAACAGTGTTTCCCAACCCTGTTCCTGGCGGCACACTAACACTGCGCGTATTCTTTGTCTCCCTTATCAAACACACCAGATTCAACTCATCAGCTCATAATCAGATTGGTTAATGAGCTGATGAGTTGAATCAGGTGTGTTTGATTAGGGAGACAAAGAATACGTGTATTGTAGCAGCTTAATGTAGCAGCTAATGGGGATCAAAATAATAAACATAAAAAAACACTGCTCTAAAAGGTCCAGATCCAAACTTAACATTGAAAGTACTGTCCCCTGTTAAAAAGACACTTTATAGATCAAGATCACACAAAACATTAAACAGTAACTTTTAGTGTTAAATACTATCACATTTCAATTTTAAGTGATTCACAAAGTAATAATTTGTATCTTCTGTACTTACAGAAAGCTCTTGTGAAGAATATCAGGAGAAGACAATCTAAAATCGAGGGGCCAATATGGAACGAGTCATGTCCATTGGAAACAACTGAACCTAGAAGACTATCCAGGCCAGGGACGTGCACAGGAATTTTGAGGGGCAGTTGCTCTGACCTGAAAAAAGGGCACCCCCCCCCCCCCCCTCCTCCCCCCTCACGGGCTATATGAAGGAATATATTCAGTTGAATTTGTCCCCTTCCAAATTGCCTTATCTGGCCGTGTTTATGTCCAAACGCAATGCCTCATCTTATGGTCTTATAATTATTTATAAAGATTGCAAAATGTCAGAGATGAGACAAATGAGCAAAAGAGTTCTTCATATTGTTGTTTATTGTTTTTTAAATTATTATTTATTTATTTGAAAAGAAATAATCTGGATTGATTGAATCTGGATTCGAAAAAACTCGAAAAAATAAAAAACGCTTAGATTTCGGGAAAAAATACAATTCTTTTTTTTGCCAATCCTGACCTCCCCCTGGGGCCCTAAGCAAAATTCTGCTAAGGGGCCCTCTACCTGATCTGTGATGCCGTGAGCCATATAAACCATTTGCCATTGCCACTCAATACCGCCCAATACAATCCTCCCTCCTTTAAACAAAACAGTCAAAGAATAAGTACAACGGTATAGAATAGAATGAGTTTCAAACAAACAATATTTACTGAATAAAGCATTTTTATAGAATGTTAAGATAACAAGTGAATATTAACGTAAACATAAACAAGAAGAAAATAATAAAAGTACAACCCTGAACTTTGGCTTTTGGGATTAACTTTGGTTCTCTCTACAGCCAGGGTATTTTCGGAATCAGTAGCCTATGATTTTTATCTATTTTTTTTTATGCATGTTAAAGCAAATCTTGATTTATGGTTATTTACTGAGGGATTTGCATTCATATTGACCAGAATCTAATCATCATTTTAAATTCAATATAGCCTATAAATCAATAGTCAATCAATGTCAAATTGCCAATACATTGGTTTATATCTTGCATAATTAGTGCAGTTGTTTAGAGTTTTTAACTACACTGAGACTAGATAATCAGTGTCTTTATAATGTGTACTTTGATTGGGAGTGCCATCATTCACGTATTGTACAGTATTTCTCTGGTCTCCACATTTCTGCTTGAAAAATGCGAGTTTCATTTCGTGCACGCGCATATGAACGCAACACACGCGACGCGGTTATGTTTTCCGAGCTGCAGTAGACAAACACTGTTGTTGCACTTTGTCGTTTATCAAAAACAAAACGTAATAAATAATGGTATTTTACTCTCACTTTTGTCAGGCAAAAAGTGATGCAGAGATGCACTGCCTGCTCAGACAAACCATCAAACTTTGCTGACACTAGAGAGGACAGAACACAAGTTTACCTGACTGCTGTTCCCGCAATTCACTCTCATGTTTTTCTTCTTCCCCTTTTCGTGACGAGAAACATAGTTTCGCTTCATTTTGTCATGGACTTCGTACACATTAATTAGCGCGCGACACGAGATGGAGGCGCGGCCTGAGTAATTTGCGGTGCCTTACCATACGCACCGGTCGCGTGCAGTCTATGGTTTCGTGGAAACAGTTTGACTTTCTAATTCTTTTTTTTTTTTTTTTTTTTGGAAGTGAATGAGGCTTTGCGATTTTTATATTATTTTTTGTCTAGGCCTACGTGAAATTCTACATCCATTGTACGATTTTTTTTTTCCTCAGAAGGGCAACCTGAGTCGAGAAGGGCATATGGGCAGTTGCCCGGGCAACCTGAGCAACCCCCCTGTGCACGTCCCTGATCCAGGCCACCCAAAATAAATAATCTGCAACAAATCCTTCACCAGGATTACTGGTTGACTTGTGATGCAATCGACCTGGCCAGCTACCTCATGGCAAAGGACAATATGGACATTGATGGGTTTCAGTCAGTATTGCCCTTTAGTGCTATTGCACGTGGAGGAATTGTCGGAACTCCACAAGAAAAGTTTGTGCAGATATTGAACATTCGGCAAAACCACTGGATCACAGTAAGCAATTTATTTTGTGGTGAAAATCAGCTCTCTGTGTATGACAGTAAAAGTGCCCCTCTGGACTTGAGAACCCTACAGACACTGTCTTGGCTGGTAAGGCCAAAGTCAGACCATTTTGATGTTCTGCAACCAGCTGTGCAGCAGCAATCAAATCTGAGCAATTGTGGCGTATTTTCAATAGCATTTGCATATGCTCTGTGCAAGGGTCATCCACCAGATATATGTATATTTAATGAAGGCAGGCTGAGGGCCCAATTGTATGCTTCATTAACAAAAAACAGCATCACATTTGGCATAAAGACTCGAGAGCAAAGCAGAGGCAAACGTGACCAAAACTGCAATACCAGTGTATTGTCTTTGCAGAACCGCTCATTACAATGAGCTCATGGTCCAGTGCTCCAAATGCCAAGAGTGGTATCATCCTACATGTGTAGACATACCCAGAACGGTAATTGGAAATGATCAGGTCTGGCAATGTTTAAAATGCAACTGATGTAGTGGACTCTACATGAGGAAGCATTAAAACAAATTTGAAAAAACACCAAAACACCAAAAGAGTGGAATTTTTGGAACACCAAAAGAGTGGAGTAGAAAAAAGCTTTGTTATTTTATTCATTTCATTACTTTTTTGTCATTTA